GTATGTACAAGACTTAACTGAAATATGTACATGACTTAATTACTGTAGACTATGTATGTGACTTAGCTGTAGTATGTATATGACTAGGCGGTAGTATAGAGATGACGTGCTTGTAGCTGACACAGCCCAGAGTTCTTTCTAGTATAACTGTGTATGTGACGTATGCACCTGTATGGCTTCCACCCCGGCTTAGAGTGACAGAGATAAAGAAGGCCGTAAGTATCCCTGAGCGTGTTGATCAGAGTCACAGGTCAGATGTAGACCAAAGTTGGGTGGATTATATGACTGTAGTTTCTAGCGTGTCTGGCCATGGGTACGTGGCTACTTTAGCCGGCGATAAGAAATCACTTAGATTTATCAAAGGCAACCATAGTTAACCAGGTTAAATCTTTGAAAGTAGGTTCTCAATCGTCTGATGTGTGACCCTAAATAGCCGTCTTTAGCTGAGAAGGAGTGTTCACCATATTTATGTAATGCAGACTCTATATTTAGGTAATGTTGTCACCAGTTTTATGTAATGCAGACTCTATATTAAGGTAATCTGGTCACCAGTTTTATGTAATGCAGACTCTATATTTAGGTAATCTGGTCACCAGTTTTATGTAATGCAGACTCTATATTTAGGTAATCTGGTCACCAGTTTTATGTAATGCAGACTCTATATTTAGGTAATCTGGTCACCAGTTTTATATAATGCAGACTCTATATTTAGGTAATCTGGTCACCAGTTTTATGTAATGCAGACTCTATATTTAGGTAATCTGGTCACCAGTTTTATGTAATGCAGACTCTATATTTAGGTAATCTAGTCACCAGTTTTATGTAATGCAGACTCTATATTTAGGTAATCTGGTCACCAGTTTTATGTAATGCAGACTCTATATTTAGGTAATCTGGTCACCAGTTTTATGTAATGCAGACTCTATATTTAGGTAATATGGTCACCAGTTTTATGTAATGCAGACTCTATATTTAGGTAATCTGGTCACCAGTTTTATGTAATGCAGACTCTATATTTAGGTAATCTGGTCACCAGTTTTATGTAATGCAGACCCTATATTTAGGTAATGTGGTCACCAGTTTTATGTAATGTAGACTCTATATTTAGGTAATGTGGTCACCAGTTTTATGTAATGCAGACTCTATATTTAGGTAATCTGGTCACCATTTTTATGTAATGCAGACCCTATATTTAGGTAATCTGGTCACCAGTTTTATGTAATGCATACCCTATATTTAGGTAATGTGGTCACCAGTTTTATGTAATGCAGACCCTATATTTAGGTAATAGGGTCACCAGTTTTATGTAATGCAGACCCTATCTTTAGGTAATGTGGTCACAATATTTATGTAATGTAGACTCTATATTTAGGTAATGCTGACTCTATATTTAGGTAATGCAGACTCTATATTTAGGTAATGTGGAATCTATATTTAGGAAATGCTGACTCTATATTTAGGTAATGCGGACTCTATATTTAGGTAATGCTGACTCTATATTTAGGTAATGCTGACTCTATATTTAGGTAATGCTGACTCTATATTTAGGTAATGCTGACTCTATATTTAGGTAATGTGGACTCTATATCCGCTAGGAGTCGATAGGGTTGCAGCATCGCTTCCCAACCGTTGCACATATGCCAGTACAAGGATTCAGCAACGTACCCTACCAGAACCAGATATTTAGGTAATATGTGCTCTTTATTCAGGTAATGTTGCTTCTGTACTTAGGTAATGTGAACTATATATTTCGCAAAAATTTATCTTAAAAATTGTCACATTTTTACCGGAGCTAAATGCTGTATTTTAAAGTCAATGAAAACAGATAACAAATACAAAATAACATGTTTACCCAGCACATCAACGGAATGCCACACTGACACAGCACCATCGTGACATTTTGACACAACACACAAGTGGCATGACACGCTGACACAAGAAAATCATGACATTCTGACGCAACACAGAAACGGCATGACATTAAAACATAATTGACCTGACACAATGAGAAGTCATATGACATGACATTTTTTTACTTACTCCTGTAAGCCATTGTCAAAGTGTCACAGATTACATCAATCAATCTGGCAGCTTCTAGATGGAATCCATCCAGTAAATCCAATTCAATTAAGATCCAAGCAAGGTCATCCACTGGTTCTAGGTCGTCTGTGGTATACGGTCATCCACTGGTGCTAGGTATATTATGGTATACTGTCATCTAGCTGTCTGGGGTGTAATTCAATGATGGATCATTATCCAAAAGTAATCTTATCCATCGCGTATCACAAGCATTAGGCCAGAGTGACATCTTCATTAATTTCTAAACAACGTGTGGCAGAGATCAGTGACAAATCCTGGGTCTTAGCACGCCCTGTTTGTTTTCTGTTCAGGTCTGTGCTGCCTATGGCCTTCTGTGTTCGGTCTCTTACTACTACACATTACAACAGTACTATCACTTTGAGATTAAACATCAAATACTGTTGAAATTAACTTGCAAGTTTTTTGGCCTAGTTAAATAAACACACAGAGATTTTTTTTCTTATCTCAATGCAAGGGTCCTCACAGTATGCATACTTTATGATACCCATACTAGATAACCATTTTATTTATATCAGTGATTCTCGGACCAGCGAATGTTGGCATTAGACCAGAAAATGCACCCTTAAAAGTGTTCACACGTATTAACAAAATTTTGTCGCTTGTTTCACCTGTGCAACACACGAATGGACAGTTCCAACATGTGCTCACCTGTGCAACACACGAATGGACAGTTCCAACATGTGCTCACCTGTGCAACACACGAATGGACAGTTCCAACATGTGCTCACCTGTGCAACACACGAATGGACAGTTCTAACATGTGCTCACCTGTGCAACACACGAATGGACAGTTCCAACATGTGCTCACCCGTGCAACACACGAATGGACAGTTCCAACATGTGCTCACCTGTGCAACATTTGAATGGAAAATTTAAACATGTGCTCACCTGTGCAACATTTGACTGGACAATTTAAACATGTACTCACCCGTGCAACATTTGAATGGACAATTTAAACATGTACTCACCTGTGCAACACCTGAATGGAAATCTTCAGCATGTGCTCACCTAAATGGACCTCCTCCTATATCTATGTGAATTTTATAGCAGCTTTTGACAAGAGGATATATTTCTAGCCCTGGTCACTCCAGCAGCTGGTGCAAGAGGACATTTTCTAGCCCTGGTCACTCTAGCACCTGGTGACAAGAGGCCATATTTCTAGCCCTGGTCACTCCAGCAGCTGGTGACAAAAGGACATATTTCTAGCCTTGGTCAATCTAGCACCTGGTGACAAGAGGACATATTTCTAGCCCTGGTCACTGCAACAGCCGGGGACTGCTCACCTACATCAGCTGGTCTTGAAGCATAAGCATGCATCTTATTAAAATAAACCTGACAGAATCACACTTCTATCAAAAGTAAGCCTGCACTACAGCACATTGATGTTGCCACAAGATTTGAGCGAGCTCTTTCATTGTACTATCGCGTTTTAAGGGGACACCATGCTGTGCTCTCTGGAGCATTAGTTCTTCTCATCGTACTGAGTGGCAGCCCCTTCATTGGCGAATGATATTTTCAACACAGGTATATCACGTTCAGTTCCATTGTATTGAATGGTATTGTAAAGAAGGGCTGTATATTGGCCAAGGTACTGTACAACGCCTTTTTATTAGGAATGCACAGTGGTTCTCAAAGCGGGCGCTGAAAGACTTTGGGGTAACTGGGGCTCCCATGGAGGTCGCTGTGAAATTGTATCAGGAATAAGCTTGTTAAGATAATTTTAAAAAAAAAAAATAGACAGATGGCACGAATAATATAAATGATTAACAAAGTTCATTAAAAAGGATCAAATACAGAGGTCATTAACAAGGTCACAAACAACAGAGATTCGGTGATTCATTTTTTAAAAAGGAATGGACCGGCGCCGTTAAGAACAAAGGGCAATTATACACGTAGCTAGACCCAAGGGCATCATTTCAGAATTGTTTCAGGAGGTGGAGGCAAATCCAAAACGTGGTCGGTTTCTCAAGTTGATCATTGCTGGAGGCGCCATGCACTTAGCAATTTATATAAAAACCTGCAAACTCGGGGGATTTGGGGGAGGGGGGAAATGCAACACCCTGTCATACGCAAATCCCGTGCCTGGCCAGACCTGCGGCTATTTGACACAATGGCCATTTACACAAAGCTAGTTAAGCAGTTAAAACATGTACTTTGTGCTGTTAAGCAGTTAAAAACATATACTTTGTGCTGTTGAGCAGTTAGAAACATATACTTTGTATTCTTGAGCAGTTAGAAACATACACTTTGTGCTGTTGAGCAGTTAGAAACACAAACTTTGTGCTGTTGAGAAGTTAGAAACGTACACTTTGTGCTGTTGAGCAGTTAGAAACATACACTTTGTGCTGTTGAGCAATTAGAAACATACACTTTGTGTTGTTGAGCAGTTAGAAACATACACTTTGTGCTGTTGAGCAATTAGAAATATACACTTGTGCTTTTGAGCATTAAAAACATATACTTTGTGCTGTTGAGCAGTTAGAAACATACACTTTGTGCTGTTGAGCAGTTAGAAACATATACTTTGTGCTGTTGAGCAGTTAGAAACATATACTTTGTGCTGTTGAGCAGTTAGAAACATATACTTTGTGCTGTTGAGCAGTTAGAAACATATACTTTGTGCTGTTGAGCAGTTAGAAACATATACTTTGTGCTGTTGAGCAGTTTTTTAACAAAACAATCATTCCTTTTAGAAACATACTATGCAGGGCGTAAAGTGTCATCATTCAGTGGCATAGGAAAGGTAGGGGGCGCCAGTGGTCCACCCCCGGGGTGGCATTCATTCTTCTATACCTTGTGTGGCGCCATTTCCTGCCAAAAGAAGTATGTTGTATGGTGTTGAGGCGGAAAATCTTTCCCCGCCCAAGGTACAGCTAGTACAAGGTTTACAACGGTACAGCTAGTACATGATTTACAATGGTACAACTAATACAAGACTTACAATGGTACAACTAGGACAAGATTTAGAATGGTACAACCTGTACATGGTTTACAATGGTACAATTAGTACAAGGTTTACAATGGTACAACTAGTACAAGGTTTACAATGGTACAACTAGTACAAGGTTTACAATGGGACAACTAGTACAAGGTTTACAAAGGTACAACTAGTACAAGATTTAGAATGGTACAATTAGTACAAGATTTAGAATGGTACAACTAGTAAAAGGGATACAAAGGTACAACTGTATAAGGTTTTACAACGGTGCAACTAGTACAAGGTTTGCAGCTGTTTAACTAGAACATTGTACATGGATTATATGTGTGATGTTCAAAAAAATAACCACTGCTAAAAATTAAAACAAACAAAAGAATCTATCACATTGACACAAAGACAATTGACAGAACACAAAATGTCCATTGACAGAACACAAAATATCAATTGACAGAACACAAAATATCAATTGACAGAACACATATTGCCATATACAGAACACATAATGCCATTGACAGAACACAAAATGTCCTTTGACAGAACACAAAATATCAATGGACAGAACACAAAATGTCATTGACAGAACACAAAATGTCAATTGACAGAACATAAAATGTCCATAGACGGACCATGAAATCCCAAAGGACAGAACAACTGCAAGAACCTTGATTTTGACATTTTATTTCATACGAGAATATTATAACGATGTATGTACTACCATAAATTTAATGAGTTGACGGTTCGACCATCCTGAGACTTCTTTGATCTCGTATTTGATACGAACACTCATGAACTTTCTGTTCCCAGTCCATCCATCACGTGGTCAATGTGCTGTCCAGACAACTGGTCACGTGGTCAGTGCTGTCCAGTTCTACACTCGTGGTTTAGCCCAAGCCACGGTGCAACAAGCAATTCTGCCTCCCGCGTCACCGGTGGTCTTGCTGGCCTCTGTGTGACCTTCACCCAGGTCGTCTGCACGAGCATGGATCTAGAATAAAGTTGATACCAAGAATGTGTTCAGTGGACAACTAAACAAGAGAATGAGTCAATGTCAGTGATTAGATTGTCCATATTAGACTGACATATAGTTTAATGGAGACTGACATATATTTTAATGGAGACTGATATATATTTTAATGGAGACTGACATATATTTAAATGGAGACTGACACACATTTCCATGGAGACAAACATCAATATTTTAAATTTCCTTTTGAGCAATTGATTGATTGTTAAATCAAAGTAATGAGTTCCATTTACCATAATGTGAAATTAGTTAAATTTAAGTTCAATACTATTACTGTATTTATAATATTTTTTGAACATATCATTTGTTATCTAACGCAAATTCTGATTTATCGAATTTATTCGTTAATTTTTTATTTTTTTTTAATTTACAAAATATATCTAATTTACCTTATTTCTACTTTATCAGAATTTCTAATGAACAATAATTTCTAATGAACAATAATTTCTAATGAACAATAATTTCTAATTTATCAGACTTTTCAATTGACCACTAATTATAAATTACCACAATGCCACGCCCAATGATTGAGTTAGGACCACTCAGACTTGCAGACTTGACTTCAAAGTTTGAGAACGCTTGGCCACTAGCATCTACATCGATGTTACCCCAGTCACCAACATGCCTACAGAAAGGAAGATTTCAATCAAGTGTTGATGTTACCCCAGTCACCAACATGCCTACAGAAAGTAAGATTTCAATCAAGAGCTGATGTTACCCCAGTCACCAACATGCCTACGGAAAGGAAGATTTCAATCAAGTTTTGACATTTTGAAAATGTTTAGAGTGGTGGCTGTGGTAGTTGTTCTTGTTGTTGCTGATGTTGTTGTAGTAGTTGTTCTTGTTGTTGCTGATGTTTGCTTCCTTGTAAGATGCAGATACTGTCATTTTGAAAAAAATCTGGAGGATGGAAAGCAGAAATCGAGGGCGCCGGTGGCTCAAGACTGAAAGGGAGAGAGGGGTTCTGGGAATATTTTTGGTAAATTCAAAATGAATGTGTACAACCAAAGCATACATAATGGGATCGTGATGGAGGGGGGTTTGAGGGGAAGGGCATAAATCACCGCTAAAATTAGTCACTATGTCTGGCGCCCTGGCCATAAACAACCTGAATTCACACCAGTTGGGACACACCCAAGGGTATGTTGTGACACATCCAAGGGTATGTTGTGACACACCCAAGGGTATGTTGTAACACATCCAAGGGTATGTTGTGACACACCCAAGGGTATGTCGGGACACACCCAAGGGTATGTTGGGACACACCCAAGGGAATGTTTGGACACACCCAAGGGTTTGCTTTTAGCCCTAGTTAAATTTCGATCCCGTGTCGTCACTTTGATTGGGCGTGGAGGTGGGGGTGGGGGAGGAGCAGAAATCGGAGGCGAGGCCTCTCGAGCGAAAGCTGTCGGAGATGCCAAGGAGGGGGCTCGGTGAGTCCAAACCTTCGAACATTTTTTATATCTATTCAAAATTCAAGGATGCATTTTGGAACATACCTAAGTTTATTTGTGCATTATCCTTCACTTAAGCGGATTGCAAAAGAATAGAAGCTAGTAAACATTTAGGTGCCCATAAAAGAAATAGACATTTAAAAAAAATTGTTTACGACAAACAGAAGAAATATAAAAGTTGGACATACTAGACACATCAAGACAACGACACATCAAGACAACGACACATCAAGACAACGACACATCAAGACAACGACACATCAAGACAACGACACAACAAGACAACGACACAACAAGACGACGACACATCAAGACAACGACACATTAAGACAACGACACATCAAGACGACACATCAAGACAACGGCACATCAAGACAATGGCACATCAAGACACCGACCCATAAACAACGACACATCAAGACAATGACACATCAAGACAACGACACATAAAGACAACGACACATCAAAACAACGACACAACAAGACAACGACACATTAAGACAACGACACATCGAGACAACGACACATCAAGACAACGACACATCAAGACAACGACACATCGAGACAACGACACATCAAAACAACGACACAAAAAGACAATGACACAACAAGGCTAGACAAGACACGCAAACTAGATGGACAGTCAAATCTAGGAACTAGGTTGATATTATAAAAATAGTATATTAAATATTTCATCGGTTTATTGAAAATAAAATTAAGCGTTGGTGCCCACCCAATGTTCCCACCATTACGATGCCCGTGGGTCACGCCCTCGGGGTTGAAATGCCCTCCAAAAGAAAGGCACCCTTGGCTGAAATCCCCATACTCGTGGACATGGAATCCGTGCTGACTGACCACTGGGATGCGGCTGACAGTTTCGTTGGCCACGGCCGAACTGTTTGAGGGCCACGTCCCTTCATCTGGACTCGGTGGCACGTCGTCGGTCAGCGGGACAGAGAAGCCTTGCACCTGTATACGGACCTCGAGCTGTTGGCCCGGCTAAGAGAAGAGAAAGGAGTTCTTATGAAAATAACACGAACATGGCCAGTGAACTTCAGACACTGCTATATGAACAATTTGTGTAGGGACACACGAACAATTTGTGTGGGACACACCAATAATTTGTGTAGGAACATACGAACAATTTATGTAGGAACACACCAACAATTTGTGTAGGGAAACACGAACAATTTGTTTAGGAACACACGAACAATTTGTTTAGGAACACACGAACAATTTGTTTAGAGACACACGAACAATTTGTTTAGAGACATACGAACAATTTGTTTAGGAACACACGAACAATTTGTTTAGAGACACACGAACAATTTGTTTAGAGACATACGAACAATTTGTTTAGGAACACACGAACAATTTGTTTAGGGACACACGAATGAAATGTCCGTGCGGGCGTGTCTGTGTGGGTGTGTGTGGGGCGGTGGGGATAGCCCTTTGCTAAATTCATATTGTGCATAGTGCTGACCGTATTATTGAGACACTAGGAGCGAAGAGGCGGGTTGGGGGGGGGGGGGCTGGGCCGGGGGGCCCTTTTGACATGTTGGGGCCGGGGTAATGTTCATGGAAATAACACTTTTGACATGTTGCGGCCAGTGTAATGTTCATGTAAATAGGACGGAGGGGGGGGGGGATAGTGCTACGGTGAAAATGGTGGGTTCTGTTTAGTGGCTACCTATTTTATGCAGCTTTTTAGTACTTACCCAATAGTTTAGCTTTTTATTGTCTGCTAAATGTTTGGCTATCAAAGACAAAATTGTTCCTGACGTCCGGCTGATCTCTGTGTTATAACTTAAGCCTCTTTAGCTGCCCATTGGTCTCTGTGTTATAACTTTAGCCTCTATAGCTGCCCATTGGTCTCTGTGTTATAACTTTAGCCTCTATAGCTGCCCATTGGTCTCTGTTTATAACTTAAGCCTCTATAGCTGCCCATTGGTCTCTTTGTTATAACTTAAGCCTCTATAGCTGCCCATTGGTCTCTGTGTTATAACTTTACCCTCTATAGCTGCCCATTGGTATCTTTGTTATAACTTTAGCCTCTATAGCTGCCCATTGGTCTCTGTGTTATAACTTAAGCCTCTATAGCTGCCCATTGGTCTCTTTGTTATAACTTTAGCCTCTATAGCTGGCCATTGGTCTTTGTGTTATAACTTAAGCCTTTATATGCGCCCATTGGTCTCTGTGTTATAAATTAAGCCTCTATAGTTGCCCATTGGTCTCTGTGTTATAATTTAAGCCTCTATAGCTGCCCATTAGTCTCTGTGTTATAACTTAAGCCTCTATAGCTGCCCATTGGTCTCTGTGTTATAACTTAAGCCTCTATAGCTGCCCGCTGGTCTCTGTTTTATAACTTAAGCCTCTATAGCTGCCCATTGGTCTCTGTGTTATAACTTAAACCTCTATAGCTGCCCATTGGTCTCTGTGTTATAACTTAAGCCTCAATAGCTGCCCATTGGTCTCTGTGTTATAACTTTACCCTCTATAGCTGCCCATTGGTATCTGTGTTATAGCTTTAGCCTCTATAGCTGCCCATTGGTCTCTGTGTTATAACTTAAGCCTCTATAGCTGCCCATTGGTCTCTTTGTTATAACTTAAGCCTCTATAGCTGCCCATTGGTCTCTGTGTTATATCTTAAGCCTCTATAGCTTCCCATTGGTCTCTGTGTTATAACTTTAGCCTCTATAGCTGCCTATTTGTCTCTGTGTTATAACTTAAGCCTCTGTAGCTGCCCATTGGTCTCTGTGTTATAACTTTAGCCTCTATAGCTGCCCATTGGTCTCTGTGTTATAAATTTAGCTTCTGGATGCCCAATTGGTCACCAAGTTATAACATTTGCTTCTAGATGCCCATTGAGTTTTAACATTTACTTATATCTGACAACTGGTCACTGTGTTATGAATCAATGGTCCTCAACACTCACCTTCTGGCGTAAAGAAATTGTGCCCGAAATATTGTGCTTGGGGTCATGGTTCCTCAGGTCACAGGTCGCGTACAGCGGCTTGACTGGGAGGAAACAAAACGAATGTGCATGAAGTGTATGATGGGGATATGAAGTACGCCTACAGCCCATAGTTATTGGCAGTGACAAACAATGACCGACAAACAATAACTGACCGGCAATGACGGACCAACAATGACAGACCAGCAATGACTGACTAGCCATGACTGACCAGCAATGACTGACCAGCAATGACTGACCAGCAATGACTGACCAGCAATGACTGACCAGCAATGACTGACCAGCAATGACTGACCACCAATGACTTACCAGGTATGTATGACCAGCAATGACTAACCAGCAATGATTGACCAGCAATGACTGACCAGCAATGACTAACCAGCAATGACTAACCAGCAATGACTAACCAGCAATGACTGACCAGCAATGACTAACCAGCAATGACTAACCAGCAATTACTAACCAGCAATGACAATGACCCACCGAGTCCACGTCTGAAACTGACCCACAGACTTTAAGTCTCAAACTGACCCACAGAGTCCAAATCTGTAACCGACCCACCTTTCCAAATCTGTAACCGACCCACAGAGTCCAAGTCTGAATTTGACCCATATAGTCCATGTCTGCTACTGATCCACCTTTCCAACTCTGAAACTAACCCACAGAGTCCAAGTCTGAAACTGAACCACCGAGTCAACGTCTTTAACCGACCCACCGAGTCCAAGTCATAAACAGAACTACAGAGTCCAAGTCTGAAACTGACCCACCAAATACAAGTCATTAACTGACCCACAGAGCCCAAGTATGAAACTGAACCACCGAGTCAACGTCTTTAACCGACCCACCGAGTCCAAGTCATAAACTGAACTACAGAGTCCAAGTCTGAAACTGACCCACAGGGTCCAATTCTGTAACTGATCCACCGAGTCCAAGTCTAAAATTGAACCACAGGGTCCAATTCTGTAACCAACCCACCAATCCAAATCTGTAACCGACCCACAGAGGCAGCGTCTGAAACTGACCCACCGAATCCAACTCTTTAACTAAACCAGCGAATCCACTTCTGAAACTGACCCACAGAGTCCAAGACTGAAACTGACCCATTGAGTCCATGTCTTTAACCGACCCACTGAGTCCAAGTCTGAAACTGACCCACCGAGTCCATGTCTGAAACTGACCCACAGAGTCTAAGTCTGAAACTGACCCACCGAGTCCAATTCTGAAACTGACCCACTGAGTCCAAGTCTGAAACTAACCCACCAAGTACAAGTCCTTAATCGACCCACATAGTCCACTCTGAACCTGACCCACTGAGTCCAAGTCTTTAACGGACTCACAGAGTCCAAATTCTGAAACTGACCCACCAGTCCAAGTCTGAAACTGACCCACCGAGTCCAAGTCTTTAACCGACCCACCGAGTCCAAGTCATAAACTTACCCACACTAGTCTAAGTCTGAAACTGACCCACAGAGTCCAAGTCTGAATCTGACCCACAGATTCCAAATCTGTAACCAACCCACCAATCCAAATCTGTAACCGACCCACCAAATCCAAACCATAAACTGACCCACAGAGTCCAAGACTGAAACTGACCCATTGAGTCCATGTCTTTAACCGACCCACTGAGTCCAACTCTGAAACTAACCAACAGAGTCCATGTCTGAAACTAACCCACAGAGTCCAAGTCTGAAACTGACCCACCGAGTCCAAGTCTGAAACTGACCCACCGAGTCCAAGTCGTAAACTTAACCACACTAGTCCAAGTCTGAATCTGACCCACAGAGTCCAAGTCTGAATCTGACCCACAGAGTCCAAATCTGTAACCGACCCTCCAATCAAAATCTGTAACCGACCCACCAAGTCAACCCCTGAAACTGACACACCGAGTCCATGTCTGAAACTGACCCACCGAGTCCAAGTCTTTAACCGACCCTCAGAGTCCAAGACTGAAACTGACCCACCGACTCCAAGTCTTTAACCGGCCCTCAGAGTCCAAGTCATAAACTGACCCACAGAGTCCAAGTCTGAAACCGAAACAACGATTCCAAGTCTTAAACCGACCCACTGAGTCCAAGCCACAAATAGAAAATAATATATTTCTCCTAACCTAAAATTGTTAAATCCCATCAAATAAATACGACTATGTAATTGATGACTTTAGTTCTCTCCGGAATATCGGTTCAATACCCATGTACACCCTTATGATACCCACGAACACCCTTATGATGCCCACGTACACTCCTATGATGCCCACATACACCCGTATGATGCCCACGTTCACCAGTATTCTGCCCACGTTCACCAGTATGATGCCCACGTTCACCAGTTTGATGCCCACGTTCACCAGTATGATACCCACGTTCACCAGTATGATGCCCACGCACACACCCTGACACTTATGATGCCACCACCCTTTTCTGCTCTCTCCTTTGCATCCGGAAATACTTTGGCATTTCAAACTACGCGATCAGAGAAGTTTGTCTTAATCCAGAAATACTTTGGCATTTCAAACTACGCGATCAGAGAAGTTTGTCTCTAATCCAGAAATACTTTGGCATTTCAAACTACGCGATCAGAGAAGTTTGTCTCTAATCCAGAACCTGTTTATTTGCCAGTCTTGCTTTAAATTTTTACGGCCTATTTATGGAAAGTTATTATATCAAGTAATAAATAAAGTAATAATATCATATAAATAATTAATAATTTCATATAATACATAAAGTAATAATTAATTTCATATGATTAACAAAGTAATTATATTATATCATTTTAAAGAGTAATAATATCATATAATAAAATAACAATATGACATCGAATTTGACGATTCAAACACCATCGATCAACCACAAATGAAGACTCACCATCTTGTTCGCTTCTGGGTGTCTCCTCCTGGTGATGCTCATCTCTCTTGTTTTGCTCATCTCCCTTGTTTTGCTTATCCCCCTTGTCATTGACATGGATGTGGATGTGGATGTGAGTTTCACGGCCTTTTCCCAGTTTCGACAAACCCAGACGACCAATCACGTGATCGGGCTGCTTGGTGTGGTGCTGGTCCTGGTGTCCGTGGTAGGTGTGATGGTCTTTGGTGTGGTGATGGTGGTGGTGGTGTGAATGACTGTCTTTGGCGTGGTGGTGTTTGGTGTGATGATGGTGCGAATGATTGTGCTTGGTGTGATTGTGTTTGGTGTGGTCGTGGTGTGAATGATTGTGCTTGGTGTGATTGTGTTTGGTGTGGTCGTGGTGTGAATGATTGTGCTTGGTGTGATTGTGTTTGGTGTGCTCGTGGTGTGAATGATTGTGCTCGGTGTGATTGTGTTTGGTGTGGTCGTGGTGTGAATGATTGTGCTTGGTGTGATTGTGTTTTGTGTGCTCGTGGTGTGAATGATTGTGCTCGGTGTGATTGTGTTTGGTGTGGTCATGGTGGGAATGATGATGGTCGTGAGGGTGTCTGCTGTGTTGGTGACTGAGATGTCTATAAGTTCCCCGGGTATCTGTTCTCATCCCTTTCTTGGAATATTTTGATGCCACGCCCTTTTCCTCCCTTTCTTTCCTCGGCTTCGAATACTTTTTTTCTAAACGGAATCAACATACAAAAGAAATTTAGTTTGAAAAAAATAAAATGTCGAAAAAATGTTTTCATTGAAATTTGCTTATTGCTGTAATGAAATGGATTTTGAAAAAAGAGTGTATGAAGGCACGGAAACAGCAAGAAACTAATGCAATATAGTCATGCCCTTGGTGGCCACATGTAGGTTACAGTGTAAAGGGTCCTAATATAAAAAAAAAACAAAGGCCTTCAATGCTGGAACTAAAGTTACAAAACTTGACGATGACCTACCTGAGTGTCCTCGAGGTGATCGGTCCACTTCCATGTCCCCGTCTTTGTTGTGTACGTGTACATGTACAGGTTGTGTTATACCTTGGACGTACCCCCATAGGGCGGTAATGTCTTTCTCTACTTTGTCTGTTCAAAGATGTGGAGAGACGGATCGAGTGGTCATGTTATATACAGATCAAGGAATTGTTCAATAAACATATTGAAAGTAAAGTGATGTTAAGATATATTGATCAGTACATCGATCTATATCAATATGCATTTGTTTGGGTTAATGGGTGGAAGGGTTGATTGATTTGTGGAAGTATTGATTGATGGCTGGAAGGATTGATTGATTGGTGGAAGGCTGGTTTGATGGCTACAAGGATGATGATGGATTGATGGGTGGAAGGATGTATTGATGGTTGGAAGGATGTATTTATGGATGGAAGGTAGCATTGGTGGGAGGGAGGGTGGATTTATGGGTGGAATGGTGAATTGATGGGTGGAAGGGTGCATTGGTATGTGGAAATATGGTTTGAAGGGTGGAAGGGTCGATTGATTGGTGGAAGGGTGAATTGATGGGTGGAAGGCGGGTTAATGGGTTGAAGGGTGGATTTATCGGTGGAATGATGGATTGATAGTAGGAAGGGGGCATTGGTGGGTGGAAACGCGGTTTGATGGGTGGAAGGGTGAATTGATGGATGGAAGGGTGGATTGATGGGTGGAAGGGTGGATTGATGAATGGAAGGGTGGATTGATGCATTTGAGTATTTAAAATAATTAAAATTATATGATTTCATGCTTGAATAAAGCAGTATGCTTCTATTTTGATACATGTAAGGCAGTATGCTTCTATGAGGATTACACGTAAGGCAGTATGCTTCTATTAACTCTTGTGTTTAGATGTCTTATTTTTAAATGTATTGTGTTTAGATGTCTTTTGTTTAGATGTCTTGTGTTTAGATGTCTTGTGTTTAGATGTCTTGTGTTTAGGTGTCTTGTGTTTAGATGTCTTGTGTTTAGATTGTTATTATTGTAAAATGTTGTCTTGATTGAAATATGTGATTATTTATGGGCCTAAAATGAATGTGTACAATTATGTAATAATAATTTTTAAAAAAATCATCTTCATTTCTTTGGCTCAATAAAGACTCATATCTTATTATCTTATCTCATTTAACCGGAAACGTGTTATCTTAAAATTTTATTTACCATATTTTGTATGCCCTGTAGCACAAGGCATGTGACCCATGCGTCCCATGTGACCGGCATTGTCTGGGCGTTGGTAACTACCGTAATCTCTACTACTGTTGAAAAGATCTGTGGCATTGATCTCCGCTGTCGATGTCCTCCAATTCGCGGTCACATTGGCTCCTACACTGGCTGTCACATTGGCTGTCAAACTGGCTGACACATTGGCTGTGAAACTGGCTGTCACATTCTGTGCCCCAAATACTTTCCTTGTTGTTGTTGTTCTCAGAGGTGGTCGAGTTGTGGTGCGATGTGCTTTCACGGTAGCCTTCTTCTTTTTCTTCTTATCGTTATCATCATCATCATCTTCATCGCTGTCTTTAGAACTGTCGTCGCTTAACGTGGATTGCGTAAGGTGTTTCTCTGGCCACTTTTGTTGGACACTATCAGAATCCAACTCCGTCTTTTCAGTGATCTCCACGGGTTCGGTGTACGAGGGATTTTTGCCTGGTCTCTGCGGCCGACCTTTGTCCGGTTTCTGTTTGTTTTTATTTTCTCTCTTGGATCTTTTTGATTTCTTGGCTTCAAGAATTGTTAAAACCGCACAGAGTATTACAAGAATACACAGAATCTTGACCCACGGTACTCTCATGGCGTAATGTTTTTACTTTAGAATAAAATATCCAACAATTCTTTTAGGAGCAATCACGACAAAACACGTTACCAAATATGACCAGGGTCTGTGTGTGGTCAATGGAGCTCTCAAATGTGCCGAAAACGAGTAACGCAGTTAAGGGTGTTAAAGCAGTTGCTCCTATATCTTGTAAGCAATGTCACGAGATGTGGTACTGTTTCAGTTTTATCTTTGGGACTTAATTAGCAGAGAACACAGAGCTCTGCTATAGCGTTTCCACCATGACTTGCAGATTGGGACAAAAAGTCGAGGTCGCAATCACCTTATCTTGAGACGCCATTCAGCTACATATCCATACGGAAAACTCATGGGGGTTGGGGGAATGTGGGAGGGGTGTGAGTAAAAAGTGAGATGGTCGTGGGGAGAATGGCAGCCTGGTAATCTGAAACCAAGGCAATTATTTGAAGGAGAAAAAAAAAATTGTTTTCTGTTTTTAAACAAAATGGTATCTAGATTATTCAAGTTAGTTATTACCGTTATACAAGTTATTACCGTTATACAAGTTGTTACCGTTATACAAGTTATTACCGTTATACAAGTTATTACCGTCATACAAGTTATTACCGTCATACAAGTTATTACCGTCATACAAGTTATTACCGTTATACAAGTTATTACCGTCATACAAGTTATTACCGTTATACAAGTTATTACCGTCATACAAGTTATTACCGTCATACAAGTTAACACCGTCATACAAGTTATTACCGTCATACAAGTTATTACCGTTATACAAGTTATTACCGTTATACAAGTTATTACCGTCATACAAGTTATTACCTTCATACAAGTTATTACCGTTATACAAGTTATTACCGTTATACAAGTTATTACCGTTATACAAGTTATTACCGTTATACAAGTTATTAAAGTTATACAAGTTGTTACCGTTATACAAGTTATTACCGTTATACAAGTTATTACCGTCATACAAGTTATTACCGTCATACAAGTTATTACCGTCATACAAGTTATTACCGTTATACAAGTTATTACCGTCATACAAGTTATTACCGTCAAACAAGTTATTACCTTCATACAAGTTATTACCGTTATACAAGTTATTAGCGTTATACAAGTTATTAGCGTTATACAAGTTATTACCTTCATACAAGTTATTACCGTTACACAAGTTATCATTTATCCGAGTCAGAGACTTGTGACGCCTTTCAGTGATTAAAAAACACATTTAATTTTGGCAAGAAACATCCACCACAAGAAGGGGGCCATCCACCACAAGAAGGGGGCCATCCACCACAAGAAGGGGGCAATCCACCACAAGAATGAGGCCATCCACCACAAGAAGGAGGCCATCCACCACAAGAAGGAGGCCATCCACCACAAGAAGATCATGTTTAAGATTAATGATCAAGAATTCATTAAAGCTAAAAAAAGTATTTAAAGAAAAAATATATCAGGGACAAACAATACATGCAAAAAAATCGAAAAATTATTCACTACTAACAATTAAAAGGCTTGTTTGGCAGGACTCAAGCAAATAACAGGATGTACTCCTAAACGAGAATGCTTATGTGTTGGCAGGCCTCAAGCAAATAACAGGATGTACTCCTAAACGAGAATGCTTATGTGTTGACAGGACTCAAGCAAATAACAGGATGTACTCCTAAACGAGAATGCTTATGTGTTGGCAGGACTCAAGCAAATAACAGGATGTACTCCTAAACGAGAATGCTTATGTGTTGGCAGGACTCAAGCAAATAACAGGATGTACTCCTAAATAAGAATGCTTATGTGTTGAGGACGTGAGGAATTTTGTTAACGACTTAAATGACTTTTATTGTCGTTTTGACAGCCTGGACTTTGGAAGAGTGCACAATGAGATGATGAATTCATTTCAAGATGGCAATAGTACACAGGATGGTACTTTATTGTTTACCGAACAGAGAGTGATGTCATTATTTAACCAAGTGGACGCAGCTAAAGCCTCGGGACCAGACAAATTAAGTGGTCAGCTCATTAATCTATGTTCAGAGCAGCTCTCCTACATTTTTTGTTACATATTTAATGAATCTTATGTAACTCACACAATACCAGCAATTCGGAAAACTTCAGAAATCATACCAATTCCAAAGAAAATTAAGGTAACGTGCAACAACGACTTACGACCTGTTGCACTTACCTCTATCGTAATGAAATGTTTTGAGAAAATAATTCTGATAGAAATTTTGAATGAAATAAAGCAAAAACTTGACCCCCACCAATTTGCTTACAAACCTGCAAGAAGTACGGAGGACGCAATCTTACTATTGTTGGAGAGACTTGACCATCACCTAGACAGTCCTAAAATATACGCCAGAGTGCTTTTCTCAGACTTCTCATCAGCATTTAACACTATACAACCACACCTTATGATAAAGAAACTTTCCTCGTTAGGTGTCAATTTAAATATTCAGGCTTGGATACTGAACTTTTTAACAAATCGACCACAATATGTCAAAGTAAATAACCAAGTATCTCTAGCCAGAGAAATAAGCACCGGGGCACCACAAGGCTGCGCTCTCTCTCCTGTACTGTATACAATATATACAAATGATATTCAAAGCTCAAGCGACACCGTTCCAATCTTAAAATTTGCTGATGATACCACCATTGTTGGTTTAATATCTGAAGGAGAAAGCCTATACCGTAACTTAGTAGCAAGCTTTATCAATTGGTGCGATGAAAAATTTCTCCAGTTGAATGTCTCAAAAACTAAAGAAATGGTTGTGGATTTCAGGAGGGGGAAACACCAGATTACAGATCTCAACATAAAAAATCAAAGTGTAGAGAAAGTGAACGCATACAAGTACTTAGGTTTCACCATTAATAATAAGCTAACATGGCATGAGCACGGCCAAATCCTGTATAAGAAATTATACCAAAGACTGTTCTACTTCAAAAAACTGTACAATTTTGGCGTAAACAAACAAGTCGTTAACTAATTCTACAGTGCAACTTTTGGAAGCCTGCTTAATTTCCTACTGGTGTGGGAATTCAACGTCTGATATTAAACACCGAATAAACCGACTAATCAAGAAAGCTAGAAACATAACACAAACTAAACATCCTTCACTTGAAGAACTATTTGAAGAAAGATGTTTTTGCAAAACTAAACACATTTTGGATGATACATCCCACGCTCTCCATCCTAGATACTTAGGATCGGGCCAGTCAGGACGAATTCTTTCCATCAGGGCGAGGACTTACAGATATACAAATTCTTTTGTTCCCCAATCTGTACGAATTTACCGGCATGCTTCCTCTGAAGTCACACATCTGAATGACAACTAATAAGTCCCTGATTTTGCTAAGAGAACTCACTGAATGGCTGTTTGAAATAATTTATTATAAATATCTTGTGTTCAAATTGATTTATTTTTGTGCTGAAAATGTATAATGCAATCAAAAAACATTTCCATTTATTTGGATCAATAAAAGAATCTTATCTTATCTTTTGAGTGTATTAATTAATATGAAATTTGAATTGAATATTGGACGGTATCGAGTTATTAAATTAAATAGAATCAAAGTTACAAATACATAAAACAATGCTGCCCTTCATTGGTTAATTTGACCTGGACAATTTGTGTCGATAAAACAATATAAATCATAAAGTGTCACATAATAGGCCGACACATGGAAACATTTCGGCCAATGCCTTCATCAGTACAACGGCAAAACATTGAACTCATTGTTTTTCGCCCGCTCCTATTCTTTTCTACTTTTTAGCAAGGATACATGTACATAGATATTATTGAATATAATTTATTCGTATTTAAATGTGGTGTTGTTATACTCATGAAGGCATGTGCCGAAACATTTGCTTGTGTAATATGTAAAATTATCATTAAAGCTGCTTGATTGATTGATATGATATTTATATCGTGCTGGTATATATTCCACTTTAGCATTATCCCTGCGGTCTGGTCCTCCAAAATCTATTTAAACAAAAACGTTTTTAAATGTTTCTTAAATGATTTTTTATCATTTTTAATTCTCCTTAAAGATTAAGGCAAACTGTTCCATAATTTTGGCACTATCGCTTCAAAAGAGCGCACTCCGTAAGGCTTTTTTCTGTGTTCATCCACACTAGGAACACTCAGTAAGTACTATAGTGCAGACCGCAGGCTCTTCAATGATACACGTTTATAAATCAGTTCTTTGAGATATTCCGGTGCTGAACCATCTCTGCAGCTGTAAGCCAGGGACAGAATTTTGTAACTAATGCGCTCACTCACAGGAACCCAAGGGAGATCTCATAGAACTGGGGTGACGTGGTCAGATTTCTTCATCGGCGATACAATGCGTGCTGCAGTATTTTGTATCTTTTGGAGTCTCTGAATTTGGTTCTGAGGTAAACCCCACAAACAACTGTTACAGTAATCTAATCTTGACTGGATTAGAGTTACCGCTGCAGCATTGGCTGTTCTCCTATTGAGGTGAGGACGCAGCTGACCCAGAGCACGCAGATGACAAACGCATGCCTTGACCACAGAACTGATTTGGGGAATAATACTAAGTTTACTGTCAACATAAAAGCCATGGTCTCTGGCAGTCGAGGACAACGGGATCTCTGATTCACCAACTTTTATTGATGCAATGGCAACTTTCCGAAGATTGGCGTCTGAATCACAGATAATTGCCTCAGTCTTATCATCACTTAATTTTAGTCTGTTTGATGACATCCATTCTTTCACAGCAAATCAGCAGTCCTCGACAGCCTGAACAGCAGCACACTCCAAGGGATCAGGGCGGAAAAACTTGTAAAGTTCTGTGTCATAGGCAAATATTTTGCGGGAAATACCATGACTTTCAATAATTTTGCCGAGCTGGTTAGTATACATGGATAACAGAACAGGTCCTAAAACTGAGCCATGTGGCACACCACAGGTAACGGAAGTGTCCATGGAAGATTCTTGCTTCACTACAATACGCTGAGTCCTGTCAGTCAGATAAGAAGAAAACCAGCGAAGTGCAGTTCCAATGATGCCTGCCACATTCAGAAGTCTTGACAGAAGAAGCTCATGGTCAATCACATCAAAGGCAGCACTGAGATCCAACAGAACCAAAATTGTCAGATTGCCACGGTCAGCACTAAAAAGAACATCATTCATATCATGGAGAAGGGCTGTCTCACAACTGTGCCCAGGTCAATATGCAGATTGAAACTTGTCAAGCAAGTCATAAGTGTTTTGATACTGCACAAGCTGCTGTGACACAACTCTCTCAAGAATCTTAGATACAACGGGCAGGTTAGAGACCGCACAAAAACTCTTGCAGTCATTTGGGTCCAGGCCATTTCTTTTAAGCAGAGGCTTAACGACCACACATTGTTTTACTGACACCAATTGTTTGTGTCTAATTAATCTATTTAAAAGCTAAATCGCAGTCCAACACTCTTATAATCGGCCTTCATTGAAATAAAAGACAAAAATGACGATGTAGTAGGAAAGAAGGTCCTACATTGTTTTTAAATATACGGCGTCAGATATTCGAAACTAAAATTTCTTCAGCTTAACCTATTCTAAATTGCTCAGGTTTAGCAATCAAAATATTGAGTGATCTGATTTTTTCTCAAAAATTACTAGATGTTAAAAATGGAACACAAATACATAATATCAATTATCCTATTAAAATCAATCATATTAAACATGTTTACAAAGTTATATTTGAAAGTTCATTTTGATAAAATTGACCTTTAATCTTTCACACATTTCTATAAAAATATATATTTTTTTAAAATATCCAAATCTTTATACCTATATTTCAAATTTTAACGTATTTAATGAAAATAATGGTCCAATGGTTAAATAAAGGCCACATAATCTATAATAATACTTGAATATATATTAAAAAAAACTTTCACGGGCGCCCTAATTAATTATGTCAATAATTTTTACCACCAACCCCAAGAAAATAAAAAAAAAAAAAAAAAAAAAAAAAAAAAAAAAAAAAAAAAACAAGTAAATACATATGGATTTTTAAGGCGTGTACAATCATACTTATCACATTTTTTTTTCAAACTTCTTTAAAAAATGTAACAAATAGAATCTATTATTATAGTCAATTTAACATCGGAGAATTTAGATTAATGAATTAAAAAGCTCTAAATATTGTCTTTTGAAAATTTATTGCTAGTTTTTTTCCTCTTCACGCTTCTGAGCCAAATGTTCTTTTCTTTTCTTTTTTTTTTTTTTACAATATTGCTTATAAAAATGGCTGATTTAAAAGATTGCCATATTATTTTTATTATGGAAATTGCTTACATCATCCTTGTTAAGTCTAAGCATTTATTGTTTCAATTAGTATCATTTTCTAATTGCCAGCCACTATAATAATTTTTAAAAAATATCTTTGGCCCTGTAACGTATTATTGGTGTTAATATTTAAGGCTGATCATTTAAAATTTACTAAACTTTATAGCCAGTTTTTCTCTATGTAATGGTATATTGAAATTGCCATATTATTATTATTATTATTATTATTTTATATCATCGATAATTTGTCTCAATGTCAGTATTTATTCTTAAAATCTAAATTGCAAAACAAAAAAATCTGGCCTCGCCGACATCATCCATTTTGGAATTTCCTGTACAACAGAGTGACAATTAACACATTTCCTCTTTAAAAAAACTAAACAAATGGCGGGGTTACCTCGAAGAATAATCAAGGTTATTAAGCCATATTCTTTGTTTTTTTACATGCCTTTATAAAAATTAAGCCACGCTATACGTGCTCTTTTCAAACCTTGATATTTCATTCTATACACACAATGCCCTGGCCCTAGTCTGGGCTAATATAGTAGCCTGACTACTAAGTTACTAACTAATTATCGGGGTAATACCTGCGACTGTGTACAGTAACGTGTACTGTAGTAAGTGTGTAAACTGTAGGAGAATTCTAGCTAAATAAATTTTAAAATTGATTGACTAGGACCCTTTGGGCTGCTACAACTATTCATGAGGGTGAAAGATCTTACATTTTTTCTTTTGGCTTCAATTGAGAATTTTTTTTATTGACACCTTTGCTCGCATGGTATTGTAATGGCTGTGGTTATTGGCATTAATATTATAGCTTTTAGGGAGCTATTTCTTGTAAACTACCAATAGCTTCTAGAGAGCTATTGGTACTCTACTACTATTACTATTAGCTTCTCGGCGACTATCGGTTGTGTCGGTAAATGTTGAGAACAAGGCCCCCGATGGCCGCCATCTGGGTTGACACAACCAGTTAATTCTGTCACTAATGTATCCCTAAATCGATCCCTCAACCTAACCTAAACCCTAATTCACTGCAACTAAAATAAACACGCAAATGACGTCATGGGCTTCGTTCTCAACATTAGCCGTAGTGTCTATCAAAAAACACTAATTGGTGATTGATTGATGTAGACTTTTTTGTATGGGTAGTGCAGTACTGACTAAGTATTGTTGGTAGTCACTTATAGTATTGTTGGTAGTTACTATTTTTTGAAGGTAGATTTGGAGAGATGTCACCACATGGCCGCCATCTTGGTTGACACGTCCAATTCATTCTGTTACTAAACCTAAACTAAATGTATCCCTAAACCTAACCTCAACCCTAAATTTATCCCTAAACTTACCTGAACCCTAATTCACTGCAACTATTATAAACATGCAAAGGGCGTCATGGCGTCATCTCTCCAAATTAGCCTTTTTTAATTACGTCATTGAAATCACTCTTAAGTAGGTATGTGAAATTCAGACTTTTTACATCATTAATACAACATGTTGCCAAAAAAACGTATGCCTACATTTTACAAAGGTCATAGAGCACTTCAAAATTTATTTACATTTGGTCTGTATCATAAATTATTTAAATATATTAGGCAGTGTCTACACGTCCGGCGCGCCGGACGTCTATCTCCCGCACTATGTGTCCGGCGACCAAGTCACATGACCGCCGTAACAAAGTGGCGAGAGATATCGTGTCGGTCAGCCTTGTCACGTGACTGCGAATAATTCAAAACTATTGTTAATTTTAAAATCTATTTCTCTACCAAGTAATGTACTGAGTATCTTGAATGCAAATAATAGAAAAAGAAACTTAAGTGAAAGTGGCTTGTAAACATTTTTGTTTAGTTTGTTATTTTTTGTGTACCAGTAATCCATAAAATAAATTAGGGGCCAGTGTGGCAACCAATAAAAGTTAAAGATTTCATTTTAAATTATTTCAATTGCTACAAAATATTTAAAAACTTCTCATGAAACTACTGTTGCTGAGGAACATGATAATATAAATATATACAAAATATTTTAATTAAAATGGGAAGAAAAAAAACGACCCTATCCCCGGTATAGATCCTCAAACATTCCTATCGTCAAGCAACCACTCTACCACAAGACCAGACAAGATGTACTAAATCGTACTTCGTTTGGAATTATAAAAACTACTAGCCGTCCGGCCATGTCCGGCGGTCACGTGACAAGTCGCCGGACGTGTATCTTGCGCGCTACACGTCCGGCGCGCCGGGCGTGTAGACACTTCGAATATATTATAGCAATTTAGATAAGAACTCTATTTTATAAAGACAGCATATTGAAACTTTTCTAAAGCTTTGATGGCATTTTCCAAATCTTTGAAAGTATCAAAATAGCAATTTAAAATTAAAATTCTTTCAGGATTCATTATATTATCGGTGTTGTCACTAGTATGAAATAGTAACAAATGAACAGGGCAACACTATGCCCTCGTCAATGAAAGCAGGTTTTTAAAATTCCGGCTTTTGTTTGATTTGATTGGCTGGACTTCCAATCGCTCTTTAGAAGCTATTGGTAGTTAACAATAAGTGGCTCCCTAGAATCTATTGGTAGTATACTACCAATAGTCAATAGACACTTTCATTGTACTACTAAAGGGGCTAAAAAACAGGTTAAAAAAATAATTTAATTGGTTGCCCATGTAATCCATTAAAACCTGTCTTTTTTTTTTCAGTTTTTTTAAAAACACTTGAGGCTGTAATAAGTATAAAGTTATAGCCATTAGTTTTAAAACATAGATTATTTAATATATTTTGTTGTTGTTCGTCCTTTGACGTGAAGATGACCAAAGCAATATTCAACCTGAGTAGCAGCCTTGACTTGAGCTGTATTTTGTTTAAAGGGGGGAGAGTTGCTCAATTTGTCAGCCTGAAACTCTCGTCCTTCCCTTTTTGATCCAATTGCAAGACTTAGTTGAGACGGCTGTAAATAGACCAGGATGCAGTAGATAAGCAGCAGTCTCTCTTGTTTGTTTCACTGTGCATAAAATATATTTTATAACATATTTAAATTTAAATAAAAAAGAAAAGCTATAAATAGATTTGACACTTGTTTTTGGTGCAGTGAGAAACTTTAAAGATAGGGAATCGCTGTCCTATATCATAATAATCAAAATTGAAACTAGCCATTATCAGGGATATATACTACACTCGTGGAAATTGTTACTAATATGTCCCTGAGCTTTTGCTGGTGAATGCAAGAAGGAATAACAAATAAACCAAAGTCTAAATTGAAAACGACAATTTCTTTTTTTTTCTTCAGGAAACCCAGCGTCTAATGGCTGAACCAGTGGCTGGAATAACCGCTATTCCAGATGAACAAAATGCCAGATACTTTCATGTTGTGGTTGCTGGACCATCTCAGGTAATGTTAGTGTCCAAGTTTGAAAATGTATTATGAACCTCTGCCAGTATACTGTCTAGTCCAATGCTGTTTGTTATCATTTGTTTAGCATACTGTCTAGTCGAGTGTTGTTTGTTATCATTTGTTCAGCATACTGTCTAGTCCAATGCTGTTGGACACTAAATAGCCATCTTCTTGCACATAGGAAATGTGTGCTAGCACACATCCAGGTGTTTCATTAACATCATAATTAAACACAATTGTCTAATGCATCTAATATTTTCATCCTTATAACTTTCCAGCTGATCCATGATCCACTAATCAACTTGAAGATAGAACTTAATCTGACTTGGTTCCTTAACATTTTCATTGTCAACACCTACAGTTATATATATTTTAGTAGTATAAGACAAACAGGTTTTGGAATAATTCATTTTGGTACAAATGTAACATGTCTAGAGGGATGATTTGTTATTTTTGTTTGCAATTATTTTTACAAAATTTGATGAATCTGATTACTTTTCTGTTTTTGAATAAGGTTATATTTTAAATGCCTCAAAATGAAATTCTAATGGCTAAACCAGGGTAGATCTAATTGTAAAAGAGGCAAAGTGCTGATGCATACTAAAGGCACTTAATGTTTTGATAGTTTACACAGTTAGATAATGAATTGCTCTCCGTTTATCCGTTTAATTATTTTCATTAAGTTAAAGAAAAGGATATCTAGATAGAGTTAATTATATTTATCTAAAATAAATTGAGAAAATTCATCTATGGAATGATATTTATGTATTCAAGATGGCAATGCTAAAGCTTTCATTAATGATAACTTGTATTCATTTATTTCCAGTCGCCATATGAAGGAGGATTGTTCAAACTTGAACTTTTTCTTCCAGAGGAATATCCCATGTCTGCACCAAAAGTTCGATTTATGACAAAGATTTATCATCCTAATATAGATAAGCTTGGCAGAATATGTTTAGATATACTGAAAGGTAAGTCTGATGTCTGCAAAATGTACAGCATAAAAAATACTAAGCCTGTTTCATGTATTGTTGTTTTTTTTTTTTGTTTCAAAATCTTTGAAAATGTTATTTTGCAATAACAAAGACTCAATTTTGAAAATTTTATTTTGCAATGACAAAGAATCAATTTTGAAAATGTTATTTTGCAATGACAAAGAATCAATTTTGAAAATATTATTTTGCAATTACAAAGACTCAATTTTGAAAATGTTATTTTGCAATGACAAAGAATCAATTTTGAAAATGTTATTTTGCAAAGGACAAAGACTCAATCTTTGAAAATGTTATTTTGCGATGACAAAGAATCAATTTTGAAAATGTTATTTTGCAATTACAAAGACTCAATTTTGAAAATTTTATTTTGCAATGAAAAAGACCCAATTCTAAAAATATTATTTTACAATGACACCCAAAAATTCCAAAGTATGTTTCAGCTGGCATGTTGAATGTATTTATGAAAGTACACATCAGGAACATAGCTAGGAAAGCATAGGTTGTGTGAGATAAGGCAGCAGGCTATCCTCATAGAAACATAGCTAGGAAAGCATAGGTTGTGTGAGATAAGGCAGCAGGCTATCCTCATAGAAACATAGTTAGGAAAGCATAGGTTGTCTGAGATAAAGCAGCAGGCTATCCTCATAGAAACATAGCTAGGAAAGCATAGGTTGTGTGAGATAAGGCAGCAGGCTATCCTCATAGAAAAATAGCTAGGAAAGCTTAGGTTGCCGGAAGTAAAAGCTTTAGACATAGCTTCAGGGGTGCCACTTTTCCGGGTCATCCCGGAATTCCGGATTCGTGAGGCTAAATATTTTTCAGTTCCGGATTCGCGAGTTTTTATATCCTCTATTTCCGGATTCGCCAGTTCAATTTATTCAAATACGGATTCTGTCTGTTTTTTTTTAAAAAGAATCAACGTGCAACAGAATTCTCGAAAAACCAGGAAAATTCCTTGAAAAATGGACGTTAAACGCCGATCTCGTCTATTTTTAGCCTTTCTGTTGACAGAGTGCTAGTGGTTTCCCCTTGCGCATGCGCTTTACACTACGCGTTTCGAGTACCGTACTACATCGATAGACCAGAAATATTTATTTTCTGTTCACGTCGCCGATCAAGAGATATTTGAAGTGTTTGGTAAGCAAAGTGTAAAATTTAGTAAATAACTTTTTAATTTAGTTTTTAATTGTTGGGTAACCATTATCATAAAAAGAAAACTACTCGTCCGAGCGCTGTCTAACAAGACTAAGCTTAGCGTACTTTGTTATGTAGCTTCTTACTGTATGCAGGCGACTTGTATTTTTTTTTATTAGAAGAGCTAGGCGGCGTTTAACGTTTTTTTAAAGACTTCTTAAGTTCACTTGACATTTAATTACGGAGTAAGCCTTCTAATTTTAAATAGGCTAATATGATTAAGTTATTTTTATCCGTTCTGTAGAGAGCCTGACATAACTGTATTTAGTTAGTTTTTATTTATTAGTTATGCACTCCCGTGTTCTGACTCTGGGTATAACTTTACGGTAATTTGTAATTCTACTATTACTAGTATTCATAATGCTCTGTATTACCGTAGCAGTAGTGCCGTAGTTAAATACTGGTATAATATAGTCGATATTATTATTATGTATGCCTTACTATAAACTATAAATCTAATAAGATAATATATTTTATTTTGTTTCACTATTCAGGATCTCGGCTCAATAAAAATATGTAATGCCCAACAGTTAACAGTCCTTTAACTTTAAAGAACTGATGGGCATTACAGTTACAGTACAGCAATTGGCAATCATGGATTGAATAAGCATTCAATGAATACTATGCTGGAAATATTGATATCAAGTATTTAAGGGGAAAATGTCTGAGTCAATCATCTTTATCACCCATCTTAGGTGTCCACTTTTGTAACTTCTCAATTTATGAAATTTATGTGTCAACTATGAAACTCTCACACTTGGGAGATAGTATAGACACTAAAGTGTGTTGATTCAAACTATCCATTTTCATCATAAAGAAGACAACATTAACTCCATATATGAAAAGATACTTTCCACTTGTGGTAGCTATACTTTTGTTCTAAAATGCCCAGATAACTCATTGCAAAAGTTGACTTTTGAAGTCTAAGTAAATTGAAAAATTGCTATTGCTGTAAATTTAATAAATACTAATAAATGTTTACATGTATACACCTTAATTGCTTAATTTTGTTCATTTGTGATGTATCTCAATGTTTTATTTGATAATTTTATGCTTGTTTTTATATTAATCAACAAAATGCCGCATTGCGATAATCAGGAATTTTGAGTTTCATTAAGTTTCAGGGATTGAAAAATTTGTAAATGAAGTTTCAGGTTTCAAGAAATTTTTAGAAAGGGATTTCAGGGTTCACAGCTGTCAGTGAGTGGCACCCCTGCATAGCTTTTGTTGTGAAAAAAAATTTGATCCTAGTTATTTGTATCCAACAGACAAATGGAGCCCAGCATTGCAGATACGCACAGTTCTCCTTTCTATTCAGGCTTTATTGAGTGCACCAAACCCAGATGATCCATTAGATAACAGTGTGGCAGAACACTGGAAAACAAATGAAAAGAGTGCCATTGATCAAGGTAGGTTTCCTCAATTACGGCACTGTAAAAAATCCAGCGGCAAGTCTAAAGGTGCTGTTCCTTGAACACTTAACATCCACAAGAAGGGGAGTGGTGTCTTTACAAAATAGCATAAAAAAATAATACATGAATAATCTCCCTTTAGCTATGCACATCTTGCTTAGGTGGATACATCAAAACCTTTAAATGGTAGCTCTTAAAGTCTCATTTTTTGTCAACCAGTGAGTTTTTATACACAGCTATTTCGTGGAATAAAGGAGTCATGATCAATTTAATAGCAATCTAGATGTCATTACTACAGATAATTCATGTGTCAATTATGGTACCTTTAGTAAAAAAGATTCTTTGTTCGTCTTGACAACGTCGCTCCGTTTACTGTTTTACTTTTTTCACCATAAATGGGGAAGAGTAATGTAGAGGAAGAGTTTTTTTTAGATGTATGCGATATCTGGATACAAGTGTTAAAAAGTAATTTTGTGTCCTTATTTTTATATGAGGCCATGTCAAATGGCCCAGCTATCCTCCCCGCAACCTTTATGATAGGGATAAGTGCCGTTGGTGAGAAATTAAAGAAATACACAAAATATGGCATTTCAGAAGTACTTATTTCGTCATGAACCCCCATAACGGCCATGAACAAATTCTAAATAAACTAATAAACTTGCGTATATTTTGTGATTAGCTTGATGAAACGAGTATTTCAATAACAGATTTATTGTTCTATGGTAATGATCATAAGTAGTCCAGTACTTTGGCCTAGTTTGACATGTAAGTATTAAAAAAAAAACAAATAAAAGTTATTCTAAAATGATACAAGGCAACACAAAAAAAATAAACATTTCAGCTTAGAGGCCATCCATGTAGTACCACTACCAACCACATTTTCACCGCCCCCCCCCCCCCCCCCCAACTGGCATCAAAATAAATTTATTTATAGACAGTGTGATATTAATTTTTTGTATTTTTTGTAAAAATGTGTCAAGGTTGTAAACACTGTCAGGAGTAGCACAGTGGTTCCCAGAATTATTGCCGCGTTGCCATGAGGTGCAGCAGGGCCATGCAAAACTTGTCTTTATATAAGGCCATAATTGTGAATAAAGGATACAATCCAAGACAAGGGGCTCCAAATTCGACTTGTAACTGTTTTAAGTGTACCCTAGCACTGCTTGTTTTTAGTATGGCACTCGGGAGTCTGGGCTACCTCGGCGGGTCACTGCAAAGTATTACATCATATTTTAATCCCACTATTAATCCAATGTGACATCTGGTTGGCCTGATGCAAACCAGCAACTTACTTAAATAATCAAGTTCTCAAATGAAAACATGAGGCAACATAATGACGATAATACCTACAAAATATTACATGATATATGTACAGTATTATAGATATAAAAATGCTATTTATGGACTGTCAGAATTTCAGAATTATAGTGCAGAGTTTTGTAACAAATGTGCCCAGTATGTACTTTCATCTGAGCACTGCTTCCTGCAGTACACATGTGAACCCAAAATGACACCCCCCACCACCCCTTCAGTTTCAAGTACCATTGTGATGGCCCCTAGATTTATGTCATTTATACCACAATATATTTTTGTATTAAATTTGTTTCTGAACCCATCTAAAGTACGTGGGGAGTTGTTTCCCTTGGGCTGGGATTTCAGTGAGTGCTCAGGGTTAAATGGGGGCAAGTTATCTGCCTATCTGTATGTCATTTTTATATTTTCATTCTTAGACTTAAACTAATAAAATATGTCCATCACTTCCTTCTCCTTTAGCCCGCCAATGGACTCAACTTCATGCTAAGTCAAACAGTGTCAACAGCCACTGAGAGTGAATCCGGCCTAGATTTTAACATGATGTTGCTTTATTTTCCTGTTGTGTTTACATGAGCTCCGGCTTAAGATTATTGGAGCACCGGATACAGTCGGTACAATGAAGATGACATTTTATTGTTCTTAGTTTGGGGGGTGGGGGGGCTGAAAGGGAGTGTGAATGTTCGTGTGTGAATTTGTGTGAGTTAATTTATGAACCTTGCATGAGGTGGGGGTCAAGAGTGAGTCGTATCTACAAGTAAATTTGCACTGGGTAGTTTCATGCTCATTCGTCTTCTACTGGACTGGCGGAGAGCATCAGCGACTTGGCCTTGATCAAGGCTTTAGTTTTCAAATAATCTGGGTTTTGTATCCTATCAGTCAGTATTCTCCTTTGTTCACTTTATCAGATTGGGGAGAATTATTTATGAGCCCTTGTTTTTATGGTCCGATAATTTGTTTTGAGAATAAAATTAGTAGAATGCATTTTTAATTATGACTTGCTTGATTTTATATATTTTTAATCAATTATACTTACCCAAAATTTCATCAATGTGAAAAATTTATTTTTCAACACAATTTAGAAAAGTTTATCTCCCTGGTGGCTTGCTGACTCTCTGTCTCTCTGCTTACCCATTGGGTAGATCATTTCAATAATTGGGTCATTTAATGGTGTCTAATGTCTTGATCATGGACATGCACCCCTGTCTTAGATGTGAGGCACTGTTTAGTTGGTGACCATAGTGTACATTTGGCCAAGTTGCGGATGTGAGGCACTGTTAAGTTGGTGACCACAGTGGAGATTTGCCCAAGTTGCAGATGTGAGGCACTGTTTAGTTGGTGATCACAGTGCCAGAGAAAACATCAACAGGTTTTAGTTTTGAGAGTTGTCGACACCCTGGCAACAATTTGTGTCAGAGGTGATGACTGGGGCTTGGGTGACACACTGTTTGACCATAAATCTAATGGTAGTGGCTCATTACAAAATAGAAAAATGTCACTGAAAACTAAGCAGCCAAAATTTGTGTGGAAACACAAGTAAAACAAAATGGGGTTATGTACTACAGCTGCAGCGGTCCTTTCAATGGAATATTTGTTTGAAATAAGTTCAAATGCATTAAAATGTATTGTAATCAAGTAGAAAATGAGTTAGATCTAGTGGAAGTTAAGAGAACTCAAATAAAGAGAAATCATTTCCTTAAACACTTCACCTAGTGCAGCAGCCAGATATTATCTATCAAAGGTCAGGGGTGCCGAAACATGCTTAGATCAAATGGCCTGTTAGTGAGTGTGTGCAGTTTCTAATGACACAAATTAATCATACTGGTAGACTGAACATTTCTAAAGATACTTGTTAGTTCAAAACCAAAACATAGGTCACTGAACATTTCTAAAGATATTGTTAGTTCAAAACATTTGATACAGTACATTAAAAGTACAACATTTGAGACTAAATGTAATTGTCACCATTGTGATTATAGAAGATGAGATTTAGATTAGTCTAAAAAAATTTTAATGCCACTCAAGGGTCTGTGATTGGACACGTCTGTAACAGGTCTATTGTCATAAATTTAGCCACCCTTGCACCAGGTCAGTTGTCGTAGATTGGTCAGCAATTCAGTTACCCTTTTAACTTGTATTATTTCTTTCATGTGCATTGTTTGAACATGTTTTTGTGTGTGCACATTTCCACAAGCCATTGAATCAATTCATTCATCTAACTACATTTATTGGCTAAATAAAATATTTGCCATTTGATTATTTTTATCTTATTATTTCTATCAAATGTTTGTGTTTAAAAAAAGTTTGTATTGAAAAATGTTGTGTTAAGAAAGTTTGTTTTGAGAAAGTTTGTGGCGCGATGTGTTCCCAGCAACCATTAAGTAAACTGCTAAGATTATATTGGCCTCTATGTCTCCTGTAAATATGGCCCCTTTATTTCTTCTGTAAATAAGGAGCTCCGTGTCTGCTTTAAATAAGCCCCTAGATGTCTGCTGTAAATAAAACCATCTGTGTATGCTTTAAAAATAAGCCACTATATGAAGTATATGTCTGCTGTAAATAAGGCCCTCTGTGTCTGCTTTAAATAAGCCCCTATTTGTATGCTGTAAATAAAGAATTCTGTCTGCTTTAAATAAGCCCCTATTTGTATGCTGTAAATAAAGAATTCTGTCTGCTTTAAATAAGCCCCTATTTGTATGCTGTAAATAAAGAATTCTGTCTGCTTTAAATATTGCTCTATGTATCTGCTTCAAATAAGCCGCTATATGTATGCTGTAAATAAAGAAGTCTATGTCTGCTGTAAAGATGGCCCTCTTGCTGCTGTAAATAAGGTCCTCTGTGTTTTAAAGACTTCTAAATAATGCTATACATTTGTTACAGTTCATAGACCCTTCTTTTGTGTTGCTCTATAGTATTACATTAAAGCATCTCCAACTTTGATTAGATGTGTATAGACCTCTTCATATTGTATGGATTGTCTCTTGGTAGAAGTATAGCACCCAATGTACTTCGATAGGTCAGGCCTCCAAACATTTAATCACTTTTAAATGTAAATATTCTATGTTAAGCAAGGTAAATCTAATGGAATCTCTGAACGCCAATAGGTTTTCCATTGGAGGTGGTATAGAGGCCCATCCTTCCTTTTAAACATTCTCTCACCAGGCTTAGTACCGGTATTTATTTATTTAGGCATTTTTATATAGCGCTTACCATAAAGCTCTAAGCACTTTACAATTATTAAAAACTTGTAAACTAAGTAAATAAAAATGAGACACTAGGATAGTAACTACTATACTATAGAAACAATGAAAATGGCTATAAAACGAGGACACTTTGGCACGTTTTGGCCTATACTTCAGGATCAACCCGAAACAGAAAATGAGGCAGGGCAAGGAGGGTGCATCACAGGTCATAGGCGGACCTAAACAGATGAGTTTTAAGGGACTTTTTGAAAATGGACGAGGTTTCACAATGACGGATATGGAAGGGGGGCTGGTTCCAGAACGTGGGCCCATGGAAGCAGAAGGAGCGTTCACCGATGGTCTTAGTTTTGGTTCTTGGGATTGAGAGGGTTCTAGTGTCAATGGAAGAGCGTAGTTGTCTTGTGGGGATGTAAGGAAGCAACAGTTCAGAGAGATAGACAGGAAAGTGAGGGTCAGTGAACGAGTTGAAGCAAAGATTGGCAGACTTGTACTTGATGCGAGAGGATATTGGAAGCCAGTGGAGTTGCCGCATGTGTGGTTGAATGTGGTCATGTTTCTTTGATTTAAAAATGAGTCTGCATGCTGAGTTCTGTGCCTTCTGAAGTTTGTCTATGTGGTGTTGAGGAATGCCTGCGAGAAGAGTGTTACAGTAGTCAAATTTTGAAAGAATGAGTGAAGAGACGAGAGTTTTTGTGGCATCAAAGGAGAGGAGGTGTCTAATGGTGCTGATTTTTCTAATTTCGTTATATGCTGATCTGCATATATTCGTGACATGTTTGTCCATGGAGAGGGTGTCCGTAAGAGTGACTCCAAGGTTTCTGGCAGAGGGAGAGAGTGTGATGTCAGAGTTGCCAATAGATATAGAAGAAGGAGCGAATGGAGGGAGAGGTTTGTTTTGAGAGTGGATGAGAAGGATTTCCGTTTTATCATCATTTAGCTTCAGTTTGTTGCAAGTCATCCAACGCTTTACATCGTCCACGCACTCCTGTATGCGAAGGATTGTGGCATCAAGTTGATCAGGAAAGCAAGAGTCACTGATTTGAGTGTCATCAGCAAAGGATTGACTGGAAACTGAGTGGTGGCTAATGAGAGATGATAGAGGTTTAGTGTAGAGGATGAAAAGGACCGGCCCAAGGACCGATCCTTGAGGAACTCCAATAGACAGGGCTGAAGGTTTGGAAGAGCGGTTGGAAATAGAGACTGTTTTGAGTTCTGTCAGAAAGATATGATTGAAACCAGTTTAAAGCTGAGCCAGTAAGTCCGAAAGAAAGATGAAGGCGGTCAAGAAGAATCTGGTGGTCAATGGTATCAACTGCAGCAGAGAGATCTAACAGAGTGAGAATAGAGAGTTTGCCATCGTCCATCGCGCTCAGGAGGTCGCTCATGACTCGGACCAGTGCTGTTTCTGAGAGGAAGGATAGAGATTGCGAGAGTGAAGATAGTCAGAGAGCTGAGAGAGTATGAGTTTTTCTATGATTTTTGAGAGAAAGGAGAGGCTGCTGACGGGGCGGTAATTCTTGAGTGTGTTTGGATCAAGTGAGGGTTTCTTTAGGAGTGGCAGGACTATCGACCGTTTAAAAATGTGAGGGAAGGTGCCAGAGAGAATCGAAGAATTTATGATGGAGGTGAGTGCTGGGAGGACGTCAAGGCATTCTACAAGCAGTGGGACGGGGATCGGATCGAGGGCACAAGACTTGGGAGCAAACCTGATGATGACTCGCCTCACCTCATCCTCAGTCACAGGCAGAAATCTATCAAATGATTCTGTCTGACTAACGTCCTCCGAGAACGGTGAGGAAGGTGTAGGGGTCGCGCTGTCTAGCTCCTCCCTGATCGTTTGCACCCTGGTGATGAAAAAGTCCGCAAATGAGTCAGGGAGTTGCTCTGGTGCAATGTCGGTATGACAACTTGCCGGGTGATTATTTTATTAGATAAATAACAATTGCACAAAACATTGACCAAATATATGCACATTTTCCACACCCCGTTCACCTTGTTCGTATGCGCCCTCCTTCCTGTCGTCCCCATCGTCCGCATTCCTCCCCCCACCCCATTCTGTCATTGCTGTAGTCTGTATAGGTACTACCCTCCGTATCCCAGTCATAGTTGGGCTTAACGATGTGTCGTACTCTCCCTAACCCATCCATAGTTAGATGTGTCCTACCCTCCTTATCCCAGTCAACTTAGGCTTGAAGATGTGTCCTACCCTCCTTATCCCAGTCATAGTTAGACTTGAAGATGTGTCCTACCCTCCTTATCCCAGTCAACTTAGGCTTGATGATGTGTCCTACCCTCCTTATCCCAGTCATAGTTAGACTTGAAGATGTGTCCTACCCTCCTTATCCCATTCATAGTTAGACTTGAAGGTGTGTCCTACCCTCCTTATCCCAGTCATAGTTACACTTAAAGGTGTGTCCTACCCTTTTTATCCCAGGGATAGTTAGATTGTCCTATCCTCCTTATCTCAGTCATACTTAGGCTTGAAGGTGTGTCCTACCCTCCTTATCCCAGTCATAGTTAGGCTAGACGATGTGACTTATCTCCCCTATCCCAGTCATAGTTGAACTTGAAGATGTGTCCTACCCTTCCTATCCCAGTCATAGTTAGTGTTGAAGATGTGTCCTACCTTCCCCATCCCAAGCATAGTTAGGGTTTAAGATTTGCCCTACTGCCCTAATACTGTAAAAGAAATCTAATTCATCCAAATATTATCTTACCGTTTTGAGGTCTCTCCCCCCTAATTTATTCTCTCCTTCTAATCAGTCTCTCCTCCCTAATTTATTCTCTCCTTCTAATCAGTCTCTCCTCCCTAATTTATTCTCTCCTTCTAATCAGTCTCTCCTCCCTAATTTATTCTCTCCTTCTAATCAGTCTCTCCTCCCTAATTTATTCTCTCCTTCTAATCAGTCTCTCCTCCCCAATTCAGTGTCTTTTCCCTAATTCAATTTCTCCTCCCAAATTCAGTGTGTCCTCCCTCAATCAGTCTCCCCTCACTAATTCAGCCTCTTTTTCATAATTTAAGTTTCTCTTCTCAAGTGTTGTCTTATTCTAACTCTTTCCAATGTCTCTCTTCCCAAATATTTTATTTAAAAAAAAAAGTTACATATTTTCCCAGATATTCTATGTTAGACATATTTTAGACCCTGCCTAAATTATTATATTCTACATAAAGTGGTACCTCGGGTTAAGAATGCCTCAGGTCACAAACAGTTCGGTTACGAACAACAGCTTCTAACTTCTTTGTCTCGGGTGGCGAACGAAGGCGAGAGAGAGAGAGAGAGAGAGAGATAAGGAGAGATAGTGAGAGACATCAAAATTTACCGCTGGAGACAAACGATCTCGTACAGTACAAACGAAGGTGCATAAAGATCCCCAGTTGGCTGCCAAGAAACAGCGACAAGAGACTCGCGAAACGAATAATTCATAATAGCGAAGAGAGGGACACATTTCCTACAACCGTGTTTCTGTGTAAGAAACATAGATTAAATCTTTTTTCAGTATATATTTAATTTCCTTGTTTTCACTTTCTTTATTTAAAACTGCAAATACGACCGCATGTTAATAAAGAATAACCCATCTTTCATCTTAAAACGGATTGTCTCTATATCATTGATTTCAATGTTTTGGGTTACGAACGTTTTGGGTTACGAACCTAGGTCATAATCCGAGGTACCACTGTAAGTTTCATTTCAAAATATTATCGCTAACAGACAGAGTAGGCGACCTTTGACAAGCATCAATCATTTGTACGATAGGCTCGGTCAATTAGTATCTCACTGCCCTTATAATCTGTACAATATACTTGGTCATTTAGTATCTCACTGACAACAAAATCTGTACAATGTACTTGGTCATTTAGTATTTAACTGCAAATATAATCTGTAAAATTGACTTGGTCATGTAGTATCTCACTGCAAATATAATCTGTACAATGGACTTAGTCATTTAGTATCTCACTGCCAATATAATCCTTAAAATAGTCTTGGTCATTTAGTATCTCACTGACAACAAATCTGTACAATTGACTTGATCATTTAGTATCTTACTGCCAGT